TGCTCGACTGCTTGCGGTTTCATTCATTAGTTGAATGGAGCCAGAGCAGCTCGACAGGGTTGTCGAGCACGCCAAAAGGGATTACCCAGGAAACTGGAAGCAGGAAACATTACAAATTATATGATAACTTCTACTCTCTAATTAGTAACTCAAATTAATACGCAATGGTTAATCATTAGCACATTTTGTTTATTTATTTTTATTTGCGAAACTAACTCGAAATATATTGTAAGCTTGGATTATTGCGTATAGTTAATGTTATACGAATATAAATACTGTAGGGGTTTCGTATTATATTCGTATTTATTTATTTACACGTACATATTTTCAGGATGGTTCTTTACAATTGTTAGAATAGGTTTCTTAAATGTTTGCCTTTACGCGGACTTGACAACCCTGGCGACCTCAGACGATAAGCAATCCAAATGGGACATTGAAAAAGCAAAAAAAAACCTGGTCATTGAGCGAGGAGGTGGGTCCGCATATAGTGGAAGTTTTGAGAGGGCCAAGAGATCGGGGCTAGGGGGCTCTTTTCGGGCCTAAATGGATGCATAGCACCCACAAGTTTTGCGCTATTCATTAAAAACGTCGTTGTTGTAGTTGCTTTCGTTGTTGTTCAATTGAATTGGAGCCGGAAAGCAGCAGCAGCAGCAGCAGGAGGAGAAAAAAAGGGTCCAATTAAAAAGCCACAACAATTAACGAGCCAAGTGAGTTAACTTGGCATAAGTGGAATTTTAATTGGCAACACGAGAGCGAGATGGAGATTCGGATTGGGATTGGGATGCAGAGATGGCCAACGAGGCAGGAGCCGAGTGACTTGCCGAGTACCGATAAGTGCCAAGGGAGTGGTAGTGGAATCGGTGCGGTGGTGGGGGGCTAGTGGGGAACTGTGGGGGATGGGGAGCTCGTTATGGGTCTACACAGTTGACTGTCCCGGAGTAGTTAAGTAAATGAGCATTTTGTTCCACTAATGAACACTAATGAATATGCCAGAGACAGCACTTGGATTAAGCCCGGTTGGCACTGTGTATGCCTGTGTGTGTTTGTGTGTGTTGGTGTGTGTGTGTGTGTGTGTGTTTGTGTGTGTGTTTGGGGCCTTTTGTTGGTTCGGGGTTTTTGTGTTGTTAATTAATAAACACGAAGCCTGGGGACCATTGTGTGCATGTACATGTGTGTGTGTGTGTGTGTGTAACTAAGTGTTTGTCTGGTTGTGCGCTCAGTTTTCAAGGGGTTAAAATAAGCAATTAGTTGGATTTTCGAATAGGCGCTCAGCAAATGCGCAGACGACGACGAGGCCAGAAACATCGGAGGCCATTCTGCTCTTCCATCCCAGCCGAAATGAGAAAGTTTCAAACTGTTGCCGGCACTGCCGTCGCTGCTGCCGCTGCTTCAGCTTCTGCTGCCGCTGCCGCAGCCGCTGTTGCTTCTTCTAACGAGGCAGCGGCACAGGAGTTGGCCGCAGGAGGTGGTGGCAGATAGCGGAGGGACACTAATTGTTCGTGGAGGAGGAGGTGGCCGTCGAGTCGCCGGCGAGGGAGTCCATGCCGCAGGTAAGCCAGCCACGCATCCAGCGGGAGAGAGCTGGGATAGATAGATGAGTATTGGAGGTGCAGCAGGTACACGGAGAACAAAACTGCATCACTAACATCAAAGATCACCAACAAGAGGTCGAGGATCCATAACGATGAACGGGTAACACTTTAATAATATAATATAGTAAATACAATACAAATAATATTAATTAATGTAATTATACAGGATGGGTTATGTGGTAGTATTTATAAAGAGTGTATAATTTAGGAGATTAAATCATTGTCAGCTTAAAAAAAAATATTATAAATCCATTATATATGTACATTGTATATATCATACAACTAAGATTGCTATAATTTTTTTAGTAGTTATTTTAGATACAAATCTATAGAGAATACTTAACAAATTTTAAAAATGTTTATTAGTAGTTATGTATATTAGTTACAAATCTATACAGCATAACAAACAAATTTTAGAACTTCAAATTGGAACCTGAAATTATTTTACAAATTTATACCAATCTATATAATAACATAATATAAATATTAATATTAATATAATTTGTTGAACATTTTGTGAGTAACTATTTTTCGCAGTGTACTTTACTATGTCGGAACAACCTACCGTTGTTTGCCTGTGCGAAGCTTAATTGGCAAAACTGATGGGACTAGCAACTAGCGTGGACACGAACCCATGGCAAAATGAATAATGGCTTAAACACTCATAACTTGGTCTTTATTAAGTTAGCTGGAATGCGAAAATGTCTAGCCAGCTATGTGTGCCGAAACTGGAAATACAATGTAAATATAATAGCTAAAAAGTGAAGCTGAATATTTATTAGACAAACGTTTCCAATTTGTTATCTGATTTGTACTTGTAATGCCAATAAATTACCTTTAAAGGTTTGTACACATCAAATGCAAATTAATACATTTTCCCCATAAACGGGCAGCAATATCTCGATTATTGTGCCGTACCTATAAGTGGGATTTATCTACTGAAATAGATGGGCAAGACGCCAAAAATAAATGTACTACTGGCATGCGGCACCGTACACATTCTAATTGCGATCCGCCCCCAGGAAAAGTAGTTTTTGCTGCCGGGTCGAATGAATCACGTTAATCTGGTGGCAATCAAGATATACCTCTGTATTTTACATAAGACACCTATGACAGCTAGGCCACCATAACTCTGCTCCGAGGCTCCGAGCTCCGCTCTGCCATTGAGCCGCCAGACGCGATGACTTTATATGGCCAAGCGCCGCCGATCGAAAGTGCGAACCTGCGGAGGAGGTGCACTGAGAGAAAATGTACACTCCAAATAGGAGAATTACTTGGTGCGATAAATAACAATAGAGTTAACTGCTCCCGTTACAGGAAGCATATCAAGGTGGAGGTTAGTAAAATAAAGTATTGTTATGAAACATATAATACAATTTACAAATTATTCCCAGCAGAAATGGTACCGATAGTGAGTATCAGTACACAGATATTTTTCTTAACTCTTCCTTTCCTTTGCAAACGCATTTTCTGTCAGTGTCTGAACCCGTTTGGAGCTGTCGGAAGAAACCGCGTTAAGATCCGCGCCCCTGACGTCAGCGATTCAAAATACGAGCAAAACAAATCGCGGGGGTCGCTCTGCGGCAAATAACAATCATTTACATGACGAGTTTTGCGCTCAAACAAGGTGAAATCATATTTTAGAATAAGACCTGCTCGAGAGCGACTCAATCGTGTTTGCGAACTCGGTGTGAATAGATCAACAGTTGGGAAAGTCAGCAAACAAAGTTCAGAAATGCCGCTGCGCAAGAAAGAGGAATATATACCCATCAAGTGCGAGGGATGGAACGGAAAGTTCGTGTATCCGGACGGAGCCGTCAATAATGTGTCCAAGATCCGTCGCCAGAACCAGAACGTGACCAACACCAACAACTTCTACGGATTCAACACGGAACCCATTGTCCTGCCCACCGAATGGGACGGTACCTTCGTGAAGAGTGGCGAGACCCGCCTCAAACAGGAGCGCAATCGTTCCGATGACCAGGATTACTTTGACTACAATACCGAACCCACGGTACTGCCCACCACCTGGAGTGGCGAGTTCGTCACCGATCCCACCGATGTCCGCATCAAGCCGGAACGCAACTTCTCGGATGCCAGGGACTATGCGGAGGCATCCAGATTCAAACTGGTCCAGCACTGAGTGAGATCCCGATCCTTCCGTTTCAATCAAACTAATCCTGCAAGTGTTGCGTTTGTTTCGGTTTCGCATTGTAATTGTACCCTAACCTAAGCGTTTGTTGTATTTTATTTCCTATGATATTTATTCGTATACTTAATAAACCTTAGCAAAAAAACACTGAAATACTAGAAAGTTCCGTTTTGCAATCGCCTTGGTTGATTTGCTGTGGGCGGTGGCAATACTCAGTGGCCTTTTATGGACAATAATTCGATCAGGTTTGCAAATTCATCCAAATAACAAGTGAAAACGCTACAGTCGAGTTCCTCGACTATCTGATACCCACTACGGCTCTCGGCTGCGTGCGGCTTGTATGCGCCAAAGTGATCGTTGTGGCAACACCCTTCTACTCGTTACATACTTTTCAACGAGTATGGTATACCCTTATACTTTACGAGGGTAACGGCTATAATAATAATATTTGCTGAGATCAACACAAAATGGGGATTGCTTTTTATGAACGGTATGGAAAACAGCATCGATGCAAATGACACTGATAATTGTACACTCATTATGCCGATTTTAAAATTTCTTATGCCTCTGAAATTTTCTTAATTAATTCAACTACCTTAATAGTTACCTTTTGGTACAATTTTGGAATGCAAAATGAACATCCATTGAGGAATTCATTTCCTAAACAGCCCTACACTTTTCACTACCTTTTCGAGTTAGAACCGTGTAAAACCTGCTGGCATTTCGAAGTTTATCGCACAACTTATTAGGTTATTAAAAAATACAATTTACGGAACTATAGCAATTTTTTGCAAAATATTTACTTCCTGACCAGGCCCAACAGAAGGAATGTACATTACATTTTGTAATAGAATATTTTGAAACCACTTCTAAAAACAATCAGAAACGGACAGGTTTAAATAGGTTTTTGTGTGAGTCCCAGTCCCAATTAATAAAAACTTCCTGATTGACACACTTTGACGTTCCCATTAAGTAACCTTGTTTAGAGCTTTAAGTTGGCAAACCTAATTATTTTTCATCTTTTCGCCTATACAAAGCCCTGATAAGAGAATTTCTTAGGAGCAGCGACCAAGCCGTATGTAAACAGTTCTTGAGTTGAAAATTAAATGAAAGCCTATAAAATATAGAGGCGGATTTAACAGCTTGCAAATAATATTCATCATGGGGCCGCAGCTGATACGGATTTTGCCGGCGGGGAAGCACGGAGTGATAAGAAAGTAGAGAGTATATATAAGCAGAGGCCCCCAATTGTTCGGCACACAGTCAAGATGCAGAGCTTTCTTGGAGTAGCACTCGTTCTGGCTCTTTTGAGCTTGGTGGCCAGTCAGGCGCGGAACAGCTCCCAGTCTATGGAACTGTATATAATCCAGAATCAGCGGCAGTTCGATGCGAAGATCAAGCAGCTGGCAGATGAATTAGCCAACGTTAAGAATCTATTTCAAAAGCAACTGACTGCCATAGACGTGCAGGCGGATTCGATGCAGCTTAAGCTGGAACAAGCCATCGTCCACCTGGATCCCATTATTCTGATCGATTCCTGGAGCAAACAGTGCGTTCAGAACTACAGCTCTTCTATACCCACGATCACCGTGGCCAGAGACTCCATTATTAAGTGCAAGGAGAGTATTAGTGGCATTTTTAATGCGCCTGATAACAACTACAACACCCTAAACAACTACTATAAAAATAACGTGAAGAATGGCTTGGCGCAGTGCCTAAAACTGCATCATACTGCTCAGATAAATTACACGCTCTGTGTAATCAAAGTGGTAAGTACTACAACCATAAGTATTGGTAACTCGCGAGTCCTGAATCCGATTATTCCACTTGTAGATTGATGATGCCAATAAGTACACTATTAGCACACAGAACACCTTCCATACCAACCTCAGGAGTTCCGAATGCACGGCTGATATTCGCATAAGAACCTCCTGGCAGTGCTCCTTTGGACAGGTGTACTCCATTACCACCAAAGTGGAGCAGGCCCTGCAGCTCATCTACTCCTGCATTTCCAATAAGATAATCTGCGGCTCATTTGAAAGGCAAGACTGTCCGTATAAGTCATACGTAACTCTGGCGGAGATCAATCCTCTTAACGATACCATCCTGAATCCCTTCAAGGGTGTGACCAATGATATGAAATGTCTGGAGTTCCAGATCAAGCGATAAATTAACGCGAAAGATGGAAGTCCTTTGAACATTTAAAGATATTCAATTCAATTCAATTGCTAGAGCATTTCCTATTTTTTGTATGGCTTTCGATGTTTAAATAAATATAAACATTTAAAGAAGCATTCTTGAGTTTACAATGTCTATCTTGCTTTCGTAATAAAAAATTTGAATTGCGGTGTTCAACAGCGATTACCATTAACTAAAGTCTAACTCATTAACTAGTGACTAAATAGATAATAAAAATATCAAATCAAATATTTTTTTGAATTAAATAAAGCCAAGATAAAGAGTACTTTTAGTAAACAATTTTATTTATTTATTTTTATAACAAGATTTTATTGCCGCCTTTTTAAATTAGCTCCAAAAACCTACAGCTGGGTAAACATGGCGAGCTTGTTTTGTTTATGAGGAGTATAAAGCGTATTCGTAGCACACCACCTGCTCCATTAATTTTTCGCAAATTTTGATGATGGTACCCCTTATCGAAAATGCGAAAATTTGTAAAATGTGGTAAGTAAAAAAAAGTATTTTGTTATCAGTATTTTGTCGATAGCATTAAAAATAGTTGTTCAAAACTAGAATGTCATACCTCGTTGAATTCGTAATAAAATTCCCTTTCGAACTGCATTTAAAGAAAAAATTCTATTTTTTTCCATTTATCACAAATTTTGATGATCGAAAATGCGAAAATTTTTTAAATATTTTTGGGTAAAAAATAATCAGTATTTTGTCGACAGCATTAAAAATAGTTGTCCAAAACTAGAATGTCATACCTCGTTGAATTCGTAATCAAATTCCCTTTCGAGCTGTATTTAAACAAAAAATTCTAATTTTTTTGACATTTTTCACAAATTTTGATGATGGAACCCCTTATCGAAAATGCAAAAAATTAAAAAAAAATTTTTTGGGTAAAAAATAATCAGTATTTTGTCGATAGCAATAAAAATAGGTGCCCAAAACTAAAATGTCATATGTCGTTGAATTCGTAACAAAATTTCCCATTGCTTAAACCAATTGGTTAAACCATTTTTCGCAAATTTCCATTTTGCGAAAATAAAACACCAGAAATCAAAACTATGACAAAGATCCAAGGCCTAAGCAGTGTACCAGGAGTCCAGAAACATTTGAATAGGCTCTTAGTACCAACGCAAAATAAGATGACAAACTGGATTTGGACCTTTTTCAGGTAGCCGCACGACCCATCTCTGGAATTCGAGCCACTCAAAGGGACCGCTTCCACATTCCAAGCCTTAGAAATAATTCCCCGAATTCGGAATCACATAAAACCAGAGATCGCATTGTGTGTGGGTATTCATTCTAACGTTTTCCATTCTCCGATTCCACAATCTGGATGCCAGATGCGTGAGAACAAAGATCGGCACAGGCTAAAGAAAATCGTGGTTGGTGTTGTCCCAAATCCATGAAAAAATCGCTTGACACGGGCTGACCGTGTGAAATATTCGAGATGCTTGGGAAACCTCGGAAAATTTCTAATAGGCTGACAGGAAAGTTAGTACGTCAGCATGGTAAATGTGAGGAAAATCGGATAGAGCAGGTAGCAAGCACATGTCTATTCTATGGGAAAATTCGTTAGAATTTTCTGACCGTGATCCTTTCTTTGGTGGAAATTCAGGACGCAATGGGAAAATGGATTTTCAGCGTGTGAAAATGTTCAAAACTGTTTATAATTTGTTTAATTTTTGATCAGGAAAGCAGAAACGAAAACTACACATGCAAGAAAAACTTGAAATATTCCAAGAAATGCAGATAGAACCTGTTGCATGAGAAGAAAAGGATACGTTACTGATCCTCGATCTTCTGAAGATCGTGAGAATTCTTACAATTCGAAGAAACCCCCGAAGAATCATGTAATAGGCCCTCAGCAATTTCGGTAGCTGATGAAGACGACAAACCCAAGAATTCTACCTGCAATCGACATGGGAAAGTGCAGCTGAAATCTTTTCTAAAAAGAAGACCTCCCACATAAAAAGAGTCATAAAAAACGGAATGTCCTAAGAATTTGATCTTGCAGCTGGTGAAGCTGTGGGAAGATGTAATCTTCGCATCTGTTCCGATCGTGTGAATTTTCCAAAATTGTTGTCGAAATGGAAAACTCTTCTACCAGGGCAACAGCAAAAGTGGTAGCATAGCAGAGTTTTTCCGAATGAATCACTACCTGTTGCTTGGGTCTGGAAAATGCAGCACGGTACAAAGCGGCACCCTTTTCCAAGAAATCTGTTGATTTCTCCATTTCTTTGTTTAAAAAACGGTCTTTCTAAAAATTAGGATCTATTCAGCTGCAACCACTGCAGCTGTGGGAAAATAGTCATCTGCTTTTGGAGGACCAACAGTTGTCTACCGTGTGAATTTTCCAAGCCAGATGTTCTCAATGTAAACATTACCACCAGGCAAACAGGAGAAACAGTAGTACGTGCCAATGAGTTTTCCGGAGAGAGATCGATTTTTTACCTGCTGAAGGGTCCTGAGAACCAGCAGATGTTACGAGTCACACGATTATACGATTCTTCCTGCAAACCTGTTGCATGGCAAAGAAAATAAATGCATTTTAAATATTTTTCTAATGCAGCCTGGGCAGATGTGGGAAAATGCATCTGCCGGTCGTGTGAAAATTGCAGTTTAATCAAGAAAAATCCATTTTCATGCACCAGGCAAGCAAAAATAACAGCAGCACTCTCCAAATAGTTTTTCCGACGGAATGTGACCTGAACTCGAGTCCTGGGAAAATGTAGCTGGATTGAGCGGCACGATAATGCATTTTCCTGCGACCTGTTGCTTGGGAAAATAATAAAATATTTTAAGCAATTAAAAGAGGTCGTTAGGAAGATTTGTTAATATTCAACCGTGTGAAAAACGTAACATTTTCGGTAAAATTTAATTAAATTTTACCAGGCGAACATAAAAATTGTAGGGTGCTTGCAATAGTTTTCCGAAAAGGAATCTACCTAAACTCGAGTCCTGGGAAAATGTAAGTGGCACGGAGCACACGATGCCTCTTTTCTGCTGCCTTTTGTTTGGAAAATTGAGGAAAATCTGTCGATGGCAATCAATTCTCATGTATCGTGCGACCGTACGTGGCTCAGGCCAAATAGTTTTTTAAAGGATTGGTACCTGCTGAGTCCTGGGAAAATTGTGACACACGGGATACACTATTATCTTCTTGCTAAACCTGTTGCATGGGAAAATAAAATGAAAACCCAATAGCAGATCGTGTGAAAAATTCAGTATATTCAAAAAAATCTATATTTACTTACCAGGCAAACATAAAAATGAATATTGGAAAATGTGAATATTGGAAAATGTGAATAGTTGGAGAATTTTGTGCTAAGAAGTTATTGCATACTTTTGAACAATTTAATAAGCAAAACTGAATTCTGAAGAACCAAGCGAGCATCGAATAGCAAAACAAACGAAATTAATTTTCGGGGTTCCAATTCTTAGAAAAGTATTATTTCGAGCGTGTGAGAAATTAAAGTATATTTAACCCCTTCATGAATATTCTACCAGGACAACAGAATTATATAAGAGATAATGTAAACTATAAATTTCCATGGGAATAACGCATATTTGGATTCGTGGGAATCCAATTCAAGTGGTGGTGGTAGTTAACAATTTTCCAGCAGGACAACAGAAACGGCTACACGTGCCCCGAGTTGCAATCCTAGATAAGTTCTTACTATTTTTCAAGAGCAACAGGCAAAGAAAACATTACTTGTAGGATTGCGGAAGTATCACTTCCTTAGAAAGCATTAATTATAAACCGGAAATGACCGTTGCTTACACTTCAAATTACGTTTCCGAAAAAAGGAAATTAAAACTAAGAGCCGTAAAATTCCACAAGATTCAACAAGAGCAACAGGCAATGATCTGTAACAAAGGATCCTGGGTAAAATCAGTTGTCCAATTTCAATGGGCAAAGTTGTCGTGGGAAAAGGCCTCAAGTGGCTGTTGGATTAGGGACTAACTAACAGGACAACAGGACGGCTGGCAAGTGTCCATAGGCCTTTCCCAAGTCGAATCTGATTTGATTACCAACCGAGAAACATATGCCATTTGGAATGATCACCTGCGGGATTACGGAAGCAGGATCACAATCTTAGGGTACGCCTATTTTCAACCGGAAATTACATTTGTGTACACTTAAGGTCGTTTCCACGATGGGAACACTTAAACTGATCAGCAAATGAAAACTAATAAAAAGCGGACCGGAAAATCTTTAAATAGCACACTCTACAGAGCCAGCATTTTCCAGGGAAAATTATGGAACGTGGGAACCTACCCCAATGGTGGTTAAATCTGTGGATTCTCTAACAGGAAACCAGGAAACTGGCACGTGTTTCATGATTATCGATTATCGACATGACCTAAATCTGGTAAAAAGAATTCGCAGCATGTTAAAAAAACACCTGCAGGCTAACGGAAGTCGGAAATGCCATTTGTTACCACTTAAAATACCATTTTTATGAAACCGGAAATTGATTTCTGATCTTATTGATCCCATTTCCTGTACAACATCCGTTTCTTTTGAAAAATAAACACTGATTATTTGATATACATTTGTGGGATCTTTTTTAAGGCACTGTTTTTTTAGGATCTTTTTAAGGCTGGCTTTTTCTTGGAACTCCACATGCCACATGCTAAGATTTTTGGGATAGGCGTGAGAACGAAATCGGCTTAATTAGTCGGTTTCTACTAGGCGAACAGCATCTGTAAGCCAATGAACTGATTTCAACATTCCCGACGGTCACATGATACGCGAAACCTTAGGATATCTTTGATCTTTTTATGGATTCCTTTGGGTTCGTTTGGCCCGCATGTTCTCGATTGCCCGAAGGCGTGAGAATGCGGGCTACATATGGAATACTAATTAGTTTTCTTTACCAGGCCAGCAGCGAGCAACAGTTGGGTATGATTATTCCAGGGAGTCCTTGCTCTTCCAGCGAACTTTATATGCAAATTGGATTAAAGCAGCAACGCTTCAATTAAAACTGCTAACAGGCAAACAGTTTCGCCAGCAAGCGGCTCTCACCTTTCCCGA